AGGGCGTCATCTAGTCTTGGTAAAGGGTAAACGTCCTTCTTAGTGACCTTGTTGAGATGTCTATAGTCGACGCAAAACCGCCATGTGTTGTCCTTCTTCTTGACAAGCACGACCGGGGATGCCCACGGACTAGATGAGTGTTCGACGACGCCTTTGGCGAGCATTTTCTCGACCTCTTTCTGGATGACAGAGCGTTCGGCAGCGGAGACGCGGTAAGGGCGGCGATGAATTGGGTTGGCATCGCCGGTGTTGATGTGATGAGTCACAACTGATGTCTGGCCTAAAGGGCGGTTGTCAAGATCGAATATGTCCGCATAGGATGTCAACAGACGGTGGAGGTCTTGTGCTTCGGAGGGTGAAAGATCTGGCGCTGTCATTTTGGCAATGTCAATGCTTGACAGGTTGGGCGCAGTGAGCATGTTGACGTGCGGAGTAGGTTGCTGAGCCGACAGTTCATAAATATCACACTCTTGCAACGACGACATGACGCCTAGTTTAATACCAGCAGGCAGCACATGCGTGGAGAAACCAAAGTTCAAAAGAGACAGATGGGTCTGATTGTGGCATACTCTGACCACGGTGTGCGGGACAGCAATGGAGTGCTTTAGCACAACGTCGGTAATAGGTGAAACGACATATTCACCATCGCGCACAGGCGGATCACACACGAGCTGCACGTAAGTCGCGGCTTGCGGCGGAAGATGCAGGAACTTGTTGGCACAAAGGCGACTTTGAGCGTCATGGGCAACAGCGGCGTCAAAAGGCAGTTCCAACTGAAGAAGACCCGTCGAGCAGTCGATAAGGGCAGAGTGTGCAGAGAGAAAGTCAAGGCCAAGAATCACGTCATGTGGGCACTGCTCAAGCACGGTGAACAATACGACGGTCTGGCGCCCAGAAATACACACGCGAGAGGTACACATGCCGAGAACGGCAGATGTGCTCCCATCGGCAAGCATTACTGCACACTTAATAGGAGGCGTGATCACTTTTCGCAGTTTAATACAGAGAGCAGCGCTCATGACTGAAATTTGTGCACCAGTGTCTATGAGGGCTGTAACGGTAACGTCATCCACCAAAAGGTCCAAAATATTGCGGCGTGTAGGAATCGTCAACAGAGGATTTGCAGAATGGGTCGTTAATGCAGCGTCACCTCCGGGAGCTGCATGGTCTAGTTTCCCGAGGTTGAGGGCCCAGGTCGTGCAGGGGACCTGGATCGAGAAATCATCGGCGAGAGAGATCGGCGGCCTTGGGGTGATGGTGACCGGCTGAACCTTCGGCCCTGAACGTTAGTAGGAGCAGGCTGTGGATCGTACGGAGTAGAAAAGCGGCGAGAACTGCCTTCAAACCGACGCCATGTCCCAGTGTTCCAAGATGAATTGGATGACCAACGATTGCGACAGTAGCGTGCAATGTGGCCGGCGCGAGAGCAGTGAAAGCAGATTGGTCTATCATCCGACGTTCTCCATTCAGCAGGGTTCCGGTAGCGGGAAGGGTATCGTGAAGGGTACATCGGAATCTGGTTAACAGAAGCCGAGCTCTCGGTGGTGCGAACAGCGCAAACAGGTGTGATGCCGAGATTTGCTATTTCTTGGCGAACGACGGCTTGGATGAGGGAGACGGTGGATGCGTTGTCTTGAGGACCGTCAGAGGCGATGGCTGCAGGAACCATTGCTTCGAGTTCGCGACGAACGATTCGGGTAACATTTTCGGACGATGCAGCGTGCGTGAACTTGGGGCTGTCTTCACAGGTCGAAGTGGCTGCAGTATTAGGCAGACACGCAAACTGGCGGGTTATGCGACGGTTCTTGGCGTGCTCGAAGCGCTGACACTCCTTCACAACCGCGTCGACGGTGGCGCAATCTTTAACGATCAACAGATTGAAGGCGTCATCGGCAATTTCCTTCAATATGTGAGCGATATTGACAGTTTCGCTCATGTTCTCGTCCACCTTTCGACAGAGGCCCAATACGTCCTGTATGTAGGATACGTATGATTCTGTCGATGTCTGCACGCGACATTCCAGGTCTTTCCTCGCGGCCTGCTGTCGCCCAAATGGCCTGCTGAATAACTCGAGAAGCTTCAGTTTGCAAACGTCCCAGCTGGTCAACTCCGACTCATGCGTCTCATACCAGGTGAGCGCCGTATCCCGCAAGTAAAATACAACGTTGGCCAGCATCAACGTAGGGTCCCACCTATAGTATTCGCTCACGCGCTCGTACAAAGTGACCCAATCTTCAACATTCACCTTGTCCTTGCCTGTGCCCGAGAAGGTTCCGGGGTCTCGTGGAGGCAGGAGAATCAGAGGAGGCAGCTGCTGGTGCTGCTGGTGCTGCTGGTGCTGGTGCTGCTGCTGCTGCTGCTGCTGCAGCTGCGGCTGCTGTTGCTCTTGTGGGTGGGCCTGTTGAGCCATTGCAGGAAAATGAAGGTGGCGACCACTCCGAAGTTCCGTGTTGGTTTGCCGGAAAAGCCAGGTAGGCGTACGCAGCACCTCCACCAATAATCTTACAAGAAAACGTATATTTACAGATATTTACAACGATTACACGCGATGACAATGCCTGGTGCACTGGCGGGCTGAAACCAGTCTCTATCCACCTCGTAGTCTTTTCTTTCAGCCAGGGACCCTCTACCGCTTTATGCCCCAATCCCACTACTGCCTTGTGGCAATATATATCACAACGTAAAGGGAGGGAAAGGCAGTGTGCGAGATGACAGCTTCTGCGGCGGCCACCCGTGACGCCACAGCAGTTCGCACCGTCGTGCGGTTGCAGATGACGTCATCATTAGGTTATCTGATTGGTGGATGAAGTCAAGCCGCGAGTGAAAATTAAACCCTTCACTGCAAAGTACAAGTCCTCAACCTCACTACTTAAAGAAAAAAAATCTAGTTTTCGGTTTACTAAGTATTACGGCTTGGTAGCGTTAGCCACCACCCGATCTAAAGGGTACAGCCATATAAATCCGTCAATCCGTTGGAGATGTTGCGATAAACAGACATACAGACAAAAAGACAGACTCGATGCGTCCAGCTCATAAACAAAGTATGTCATTACGGCATTCATTATCAGAGTATGCACAGGTGCTGTGTAGTGGCATTATTTGTCTCAATCCCAGAAATCAAAGAGGAATAATTTGGATTTGCCCGGTGCCGGTCAGCTCAAACGAAACTAAACGACTGATACGAACGGGAGAATTACGATATCTAGAAGCGGCAAAAAAAAAGGGGTGGGGGTGGGGCAGCTCACGCATCGCAGCAATCTGCGTTTTTTTTCTTTTACATGTAATCCTTAGTTCACGTGATAATATCAAGAAGTAGCTCGGAACTTCAGAAACCACCGAACAGTGCTCGGAATTGTTCCGACGCACGAACATCTGCCATTTGTTCCTCTAAGTTTGAGGGTAATATCCTCCGAAATCGGTTGCACTTCTTTTTGATAACTCTGTTTATACGGTGACGAACTTGCAACGTAAACTGAAACTCCGGACAACTGACGCGTCGTCCAGTCCTCCGGAGTGGTGAAGCGTCCTCCAGAGTAATGAAGCGTGCTCCAGAGTGGTGAAGCGTTCTCCAGAGTGGTGAAGCGTCCTCCAGAGTGGTGAAGCGTCCTCCAGAGTGGTTCCGTGGACATGTAGTTTGCTGGTTTCCCTGAACATTGAATAGGCCGTTTATAAGTAAAAGTGAGCTCATCAAGGAAACGTGATAGCGCGCAACGGGTGAAAGACTTTCTCTCATTCCTGACGACTTCTCGGGAAGGTATACGCCCGCTTGTCCGAACAAGTGCTGGCTTTCCTGAGCTTTGTCGATGAAGCTTCTCTTTGTCGGGATATATGTCGTCCAACATCAACAAAAGATAAAAGAAAAGGATAGGCGTTACGAAGGAAAAAAAAAACCAAAAACATTGTTCCAAATCTGCATGTTACACCGCAAATGTAGTCGAAAGACGACAGTCTTGCGTCTGGAGAGAGTGAACAAAACATTTATTTGATGTTCTGCGCAAGAAAATCGGTGAAGGGTATTCTGGAGGCGCTGCGTTAGAGTGCCTCGAGCGTGTAGCGGAGGTGAACGAGCGCATCGAGGCACGTTCGACACGAGCGCCATCTGGCAGTTACCTTCGAAAACGAAGGCGTGCAGCCCGCGGAGAAAGATGCGCGCCATTCTCGGAGGTGATAAAATGGAGAACGCAAAGCGACGGGCAGGTGCCACCACTGTGACGTCGTAGCAAAGCGTTGGAAACACCTTTTTGAGCATCGCGTTGCACTGTCAGCGCAGCGCGATAAACGCTACATTCCTTAGAGTTACCTGTGTGTGCTTCTGTTAGTATAAAGGCAGACATACAAAACTTCGAACTGTTGTTATGGCGCCTCAGATTTGCGCAAGAATTGCTTTTCAATTGACAATCGCACAACTATGAACGCTAATACATGAGCATATTGGTGGGCGCTACGAATGGGGTTGGCCGTTTAGTGCCGTTTCAGATATCGTTAGGGCGGACAGACAGACAGACAGACAGACAGACAGACAGACAGACAGACAGACAGACAGACAGACAGACAGACAGACAGACAGACAGACAGACAGACAGACAGATCAAAATTTTTCCGCCGAAGGTACCCAAGAAAGACTATCGTCTTTAAAATAATTCGTTGACGCATGGACACTGGATGCCACCTTCTCTCAAGCTAAAGTCTGCCCTCTGTAACAAACACGAAAAAAATCTTCTCTAAGGGAGTAGTTACGCTCGCTTACAACCCCCTCAACACGCGACATGCAAGCGGAGAGAACAGGGCGGGAGTGCCTGACCTGTCCACCGTCCTCCTCCTTTCCTCTAATGAGCGGCCTATCGTCCAGCGGGAGACGTGCGATAGGCCGAACCCAACGGTCGGTGCCGGCTTGACGTTTACGAGCAAGGTGCGAGAGGGAGAGAGCACGCGTCGGGGAGGAGGCTCCGGACGTGAATATATAGGCTGAATTTCAACGCACGTGCTTTCGTTCGATGGCTTCGCTAGGCGCCGCACACCGGCTCGACCCTAGGTTCCAAGTGGATAGCCCTGAGTAACAGAAAAAAAAAGAGAAAAAGTCATGTCCCACATACTGGTCTCCCGGATCGCCGCGACCGTCTCCAACTTCTGGAAGTTGGCGGTGCTCCTCCTCGTGCCATTCCTTTTCTTGCCCCTCGTGCTGTACATCGACACCAAGGTCAGTACCCTGCTGCTGACGGCACACGTCCGTTACGTCACTTCCGCTGGCGCGCACCCGTGTCAGGTAAAGACTCGAAGGACCATGACTCCCAGATACGATTTCTTAGAACCTCTTGTAAAATACATAGCCACGCATCAGCCGTTACATGGTTCAAATCAGGCGCCTGCAGGGACACCTAAATTGACAGTTGGGTGTTATCATCGCGCAAGTGAACTAAATGCTGTAAAAATGAAGAAAAAAAATCTTTGGAGTATGGTGTCTCTGAGTGCAATGTTTCTATGAAAGAATTCGTCTTTCTCGAGGCTGCAACTGCAGTTTGAAAGCTGGAGCTGCTTACACAGAAACCGATCTTTTGAATAACCTAGACAAAAAGAAAAAAGAAAAAAAAACATGCAACATCTCCGCTTTAGTTCATGTAGTCTACTCGCTGCAACTTCGTAAAGCCTCGCATACTTGCTTCCACAGCTTAGCACCGGTGATTTCGCATGTTCCCTAAAGGGTAAGACAAGATTAAAATTTACTCTTGAGATCACACGTCCTGAGGCTGGACATCACTTGCAGCTGGTATGATATGAAGCAGATTTCGTACATATAACTTTGTCATGTGGTCGCGTAATAGTCGTGCTCACTGTGGAGGCCGATTCTTCTGTTTTCTTACGCTGTTAGTATTTCCACGGCGAGTTGCCGACGAGAATTAATGACTTGACCGTAGAACATTCGCACATTTACGCTACGCCAACGTGAAAAATTACACTCGAGCTCTGCTCAAGAAGAAACTTCCACGACATGCAAGGAACAACGGCATTCTTTGCTATTGACTTCATGGTTTATGTGAGGAACATTTGAAGTGCATGAAAGAAAGGAATTTCGGTCACTCATTTTTGTTTTTTTTGGCACTACCTTATTTAAAACAAGCAGTTAATTGAGCTATGAAAGTTTGTCTGTTCCGAAGAAGAATTAAACTTAAGACCGAATTGGTGGTTTGTGCCCTCATTGGTGCGAACTTTGCAGCATGCCCTAGTTTTGTTTCAGTCATGCATTAGCAGCCTTACTTTGAATACTGTTGCTGCGGTCTATTAGTTTACATGTGTATTCCAAATTAAAATACCTTCAGTGAAGTTCTTGTAATGCATTATTTCAGCAGAAAATTGGCAAGAAAGTGAAATTTGCACAAAAATTACCTCCCTGTCTTCCTTTCTTTCAGCGCGCTTTTTGCGACATTCTGTTCATGCGACAATTATTCACTTTCTCTCTCTGTCTTTCTTTAAACAATTTTAGCTATTGTACTCACAAAGCTGAATGAATGCTCAATGCACAACGAACTGAAAATGTTGGCAACAAGCAGTATACGATGCCGGGTTTCACGCGACATATAAAATGCGAGGCATTTCATTGCCTATTGCAAGCACTTTTGAAATCTATCTATCTATCTATCTATCTATCTATCTATCTATCTATCTATCTATCTATCTATCTATCTATCTATCTATCTATCTATCTATCTATCTATCTATCTATCTATCTATCTAATCTATCCGCCTACGTCTCCTCATGATTACCACCTTAACTTGGGGTGAACTAAAATTAGCATGGGAGGGTAAAATGGTTTGACGAATATGACGCGCTGGTCATTACATTAAGAATGTCAGAATCGTGCCTCGTACGACATCTAACACTTTCCGCCAAAGAGTGGCACAATACCGCGGGTGTGCATGTGCCCGATATGCGGGTATACGTGCCGCAGGTGACTGACAGTTTATGTCTACCCAGGAACTACCAGAACTAACATTGGCAATTTTAACGCGAGAGCATTAACAAAAAAGTTGACATCGGCAGCGTTGACCGGACAAGTGATGCAAAGGATGAATGTCAGGACCCCAGCTGGAATTGAACCCAAGCATTCTTTTTGGCAACCAAGTGTTCTACCACAGAACTATTCCACGTCTCGGTATTGCTTTCGAAAAATACTATATTCAAGTGTAATCAGGTGTGATGATGGTGAAACGTCAATTGTATACTTGCAATGCTGGCTATCTCATTCTATCAGTGTTACATATGCACTCCTTTGATAGAGCCGTCTCGTCGGATTACCGTCAATTGTAGTTAAGTGCCATCTACTGAAGTTTATTTATGTAGAAGTGTCCAGGGCTATCATCCTCGCGATAACAAGCTTTACATATCAGCTTACCTCCTCTTGTATTGATAATACTCTTGTTCCTGTTGGCATCCTTGCGCAAGTGCAAACAACTAGTTATATAAGCATATTTGAATGTTAAACATCTGCTTATCAGTATATGTCTGTGGAAATATGTTTAGCGTCATTTCGTAACGTGTCGCTCTATAAAATGAATTACAACACGGTCGCCTTCCCTTCGCATGCTTCGCATAACGTCGATTCTCAAGGTTCGTGGGACCTGCCGAATATTTGTTTTATTAAAGCTTTTTTTTTCCTGCTGTTTCAATGCTCGGCTGGTGAACCGAACGTTGGGGCTTCGATCCCGGTAGGCACCGTCTCATTTCATTTTATTCCAAATGCTAGGGACTCGTGCATTGCCAGTGCAGTTTAGTAAATACCAGAAGATCGGAATTTCGGGAGCCCTCCACTACGGTCTGCCTTATAATCGTATAATGCTTATAGGCACGTACGATCTTATAGATAGTATTATTATTACTTTTCTGTAGAATCGTCGATGTACGCAAGCCTCCGAGACAATATGCAGAGGTACCGACTCACTCCACACTTTTCGCCGAGACAGTCTCGCTCCTGACTTCGTTTCCTGTACAGAAGCTCTATATTGGGGTTTAGGTCATTCGTATATCAAACGTCTCGAGTTGTCCGCAGCACAAAAATGTTGCATCGTTTGCAGGGCGCAACTTCCTTTGTTCACTGGAGACCCGCATATAATTTTTCGACGCTGTAATGACGTGCTCGTCTAGGCAAGCGTTACCTCGAGGCAGTTTAGAGCTGGTGTGAGCGGAATCGATGGTTATTTGAGCGTTATCCATCGTTGCGCGATCCCACGAAAAAAAAATAAAGAGAAGAGCTGCTTTCGAAATGCGCTACAGAGCGAGCAACTGATGTCTATTCAAGTGTTGGCTGTAAACTCCCTGTTCCAGGTAGCCATGGCAACTGCTTACGACGTACTACGTTCTGCACGTGTCAGTTTGCTTGTTCACGTTTTTCTTCGTTGTACTCCTTCCCAGTGATCCTAGGAAAGAGCGATAGAGAGATTTCGTGTTGCTAAGATCTCCACGGTCTTATCGCGCGGTGCGCTGAGGTCAATTAGTATACGACACTACACGGACGGTTCGGAGACGCAACGCAGTCGCAGCTTATCAACGCAGTGTTCCTTCTACATCTATAGACGCATGTCACTCCCTTCTCCCCTCGTTTCACATGTCTTTTTCCTGCGATGAGATATACGAAACTTTCTCCGCAGCATGTTAGCGTCTTGCCACCCTCGAATTCTATTACCGCGCAGTTTTCCACGGCTATTTTGCCGAGTCAGGCATTTCGTGTGAGAAGTGTTGAGACACTACAGGGTGATTAGCATAGAGTTTTCTAAAATTAACTAGAGGGGACTCTGTCGCTGTGATAGTTCAGCGACCATGGGAATGATGGGTAGTACTCACATTTGCCTAGTCTTCGTACTTGCGGGCGGTGAATCGTACTTGCGGCTTTCTTTATTGCTGTGTTTCTGTGTTGTTCTGAAAGAAAAATTCAACCCATTTGAACTTCGTGACTCCATTTGGAAAAGTAAGTCTAAAATAATAAGGTGGTGAAGCGCTATCGCTGAACATTTGCTGATTTTTGTTTCGTCAGAAAACAGCTCTAAGCCACACGAACACACACGGAGCCAAAAGCAGGCCAGAAGTACGATTTTTAGACAAATGTCTGTACTACCCATCATTCCGATGCTCGCTGAGGTGCCGTGCGTTGCAGCTCCTATATGCACTAGCGCCAGAGAGAGAGAGAGAGAGAGAGAGAGAGAGAGAGAGAGAGAGAATTCATTAGAAGGCAGAGAGGTCGGCCTGAGCTAGTTCACTCTAGTCTGCTACTCTACACAGGGGATAAGGGAAAGGGGAAGGAAAGAGGGATGAAGGGTGATGATGGGGACAAGAAGAGGTGGTGCGTATGCACAGTAGCCACTTAGCATAGTACCCTACAGTCTAGTTTCTAGTCCAGTGCTTTTTATAAAGTCTAGAACAGCCTTTGTAGCAGTTTTTGACACTGTTTGGTCGTTCATTGCTGAGAATATGTGGCTTCCACTTAATGGTGTTCGTCCGATGCTTGCCAACGTTGCAGTTAGCATTTTTCTTTGCGCCACGTATAATGCACAGACACAAAATATGTGAGCTATCGTTTCGCGCACTTGGCAGCGTTCACAATTCGGGCTGTCCGCACGGCCGATTAGGTGGGTGTAGTGGCGAGTGAAGGCGACGCCCAGACGAATTCGGTGCAGTATATTAGCATGTCTTCGGCTGATTTTATCTGGAAGACGAAAAGTCATACCTGGGTCTGTTTCTCGCAGGCGCTTGTTCCGGTGATCTGGTAACGACCAGTAAGTGTCAGCGCATTCGCGCATGAGTGATCTCAACATTGTGTTGAGTTCCCTTTAGTGTATCTTAGGAAACTCTATGGTGATTAGTGTATAGCAGACGTATTTTTTTGGGCTGTAGTTTCGTAACAGATTTTCCTGTTGTAATTTTGTTCATGGCAAGAGGTCCAAGAAGAATGAAAAATTAATGAAGCGTTTTGTTTTTTTAGTGTGCAACGCGAAAAAATAAATTCACACCATCTTCTCGAAAAAAACTGATGGGATGCGAAGTGCCCCGCCGCGGTGGTCTTGTGGCTAACGTACTCTGCTGCTGACTCGCAGGTCACGGGATAGAATCCCGGCTGTGGCGCATTTTCGGTGGAGACGAAAATGAGGCCCGTGTGCACGTTGGGTGCACGTTAAAGAACCCCAAGTGGTCGAAATTTCTGGAGCCTTCTA